AACGGACCAGACTTATAACATCATCGACTGACAAACACTATTCACTTGACTCTGAAGATGACTTCCGCTCAGGTTGTCGAAACGTCAGTCACCAATGACAGTTCTTTTCAGAACCACCCTCACCCGGACGATCACACTATACGAACTAATAATTATCATGTTTGTTCATGTTTTTCTCAATTTCTATTGGCTAATAATTTGACACTTAAGCTAGCCAGTTGTCAAAATCTTGACACCTTCAGCGGAGCTACCGTGAAGGCTCTCATTCTCTCTCGCTTCGTTCGCCGACAGGTTTGCTCGTTTGCTCGGGCCACCAACGATGAGAGCCTGCTCGCAGGCTACTTGTCAAGTGCGTGAGGCAATTGAGAAAAATTAATTAAGAGTCCTCGATAGGATTCGAACCTATCACTTCCTACTTCATAGGGTATTGATAAACATCGTACACAATTTCAACACTAAGTGATAGTTTTACAATGTAAAACTTCAACCGGGGTTACCAAAGACTTTTCATCCAATCGCATTCGATTGTGAACTACAAGAATCGGAGTTTGTTCGTGATAGGACTAAACGTGTTGAAGCGGCGGTTATGTTCTAGGTTTAATTCATTGCGTTCAATTTTCCTTGTCTTGAACACAGCAACGAACAAACGACAAAAATAATTTGAACTCAGCACGGACAATCTGAATGGTGGCTTCTCATGCACTCAATTGGGATCAAGTTTGGTTTGGCGCGAGGTTGAAAATCATTATTGCCGGTGAGTTCATGGTTGATTTGTTGTCAGGTTGTTATCGGCATATCTGCTGTTGGGCTAAACATTAGTTTTGCTGCTGGGTCGTTCCCTGTTCACCTCTTGGCAATATTAATTTTCGCGTTGCCAGATTCACTCAGGGTGTTAGTTATTTTGTCGCTACGTTCAAGATCGTTTTTTTATAGGACCGGTATCTTCAGTCGAGAAGGAAATGTAACATTTGTCAGTTTAAAATTATCATTTTTTGTTGCTGAACCGCGAAGAATTTGTTCCTATGCGCTGGGTTCAAATAGAATTAACTTCATCGTTCGCTTATTGCGCTGTTCAAGTCGACGAAATTTGAACGTAATAACCAGCCAATCTAAAATTTCTGTTCGAAGGACTACTAAAGATATCCCGCTGTTCGAACATGATTAGTGAGATCACAGGTAAACTCAGAATCTTTAGTTTCAAAGTCGTGTTGTGATTGGTTGAATACTCTAAGGTGGCCCCGAATAGTCATTGCACCGCAACTTTGCCGGGTTCTGAATAACATTTCACCTTTTCCTCTTCCTGCTGTCTTCATCTCGCGGCAACTTCACCTGAAGAACTTTGAAATTCACT